GGATTCCAACACAGAGGCCTGTGGGAAGGTTGACACCACTTATTATGGGATGGTGTCCCCTCCCTTTTTGACCCCCAAGGAACCTTTCTGCGCATGTGTAGTCAGGAGGTCTCCTTGACCTCCAGAATGAGAAATATGTCGTCTCTTTTATCTTCTATCTCGGCAGGACTCATCTCCTCCTGGCTCCCGCCATTATCTTTATCTTGGAGTATCTGTCCACAGGGGACAGACTTCAGCTGCTCAGCCTGGGGCCCATCTATCTCCTGCCTCAGTGGGACTGTCAGTCAAGGTGCCCTGCTCAGGTGCCCCAACCTCAGCCAGTGCAACTCTCTCTTCCTAGACGTTGAATTCTGAATGTTTGAAGCAAGGCAACTGAAAGAGAGAGAAAGGGAGAGGGAGAGGATGAGAAGAGGGAGAGAGGGATTAAAAAGGAGTGGGGGGGGAGTGGGGGAGGGATAAGGGGAGGGAGGGAGGGAAGGAGGGAGGGAAAGAGGGAGGAAATAAGGAAGGAAGGAAGGGAGGGAGGGAGGGAAAAAAGAAAGAAACAAGAAAGCCAATGTATCCAGCCTTGCTTTTTAGCTGTTCTTCAATTCTGTGGCCTCCCAATATATTTTCCAGCTAATTTCCTGTTTTGCTTACTGTAATTGAGTCTGTTTTTCAACCAAAGAACCTTGACTGGTGCCTATGAGAATGACACTTGCAGACCACCCAGAAACTCAGCTCTCTGCTTTGGATTCAACCTCATCTCCTACTAAAACTTGACCAGAATCCCAAAGGACACTTCTTCTCTGATTCCCAGACATTCTATAGAGATACTGTGAAACACTGGAGTGGCCAAAAAACTGGTAGGCGCCAAGGAAATAAGTCTTAGGGCAAGGATGTGTCAGGAAACCAAGAGCTGTGATTTCTAGTTTGTGCAATTTCTCTGACTAGAGACACAGAGGACATCTTCCAGCCTCTCTGCACCTCGATTTCCACACCTGTAGATGACCGAGCTGTCTCTATCACATCAACCTTTACGACATGCCAGTATTTCCTAACTTTGCTAGGTCTCCACCTGCCCACTGAGTCCCTACCTGCAAAGCCTTAAAGTCACAAGCCATACATCCACCTCCTGGACATCCCTACTCCTTGAGCAGTGCTCACACCCCCTCATCCTTGAAATTTTAAATAAGATTGCCCTGAAGCTCCATCTCACAGTGGGAGAGAAATGTCCTTCCCTGCCCAACGCCTCCAGGGAGTCCTGGGGTAAGCCCACACTCCCACAGGTCAATTCTAGCTTGAGTTCCTGCTTCCACTGAATTTGCAATTGCCTCCCTGCCTTTCACCTCCTGTAGTTTTTTCACCCCATGTCATCCTGGGTGGCACTACTCTGATCCCTTCAGCCTGCAAAGCACCACCCACTCAAGGCAAAGCATGTAGCAGCCTTGCTGAAGGCTTGGAGTAACAGAGGCTACTACACACTGCAGCTGAGGAAAGCAAATACCTCCAGGCTGAACATGGCTCTTCCTGTTACTGGCCATTCCCTTCTCTTCCAGGAACATCACTGCAGGGTCCCCTCCTTGGGCTCCAGCATCCCATCGTGTTGCTTGTATCCTCCCTCCACCTCTTCCCCTCTCCTTTTAAACTCTTTCTCCCAATCCCCAAATTTCCTGTTCAGATTTTCCACGCCTTCTTCCCACCACCAAAATGGCCTATCACATGTTTTGCTAAACAAAGGTCATTCCAAGAGGAATTCTGACCAACAATTGCTTCTTTCTTTCTGCTGCAAAAAAACGCATCTCTAACAATACTGATAACACCTGTTCCCTGGCTGAAGGCATAATGCCTCCAGCATTTAGGAAGCATTTCTCGGAAAGCATTTGGCTGGAATAAAAAGCTTTGCTATTTTGTTCGTATCCCTTATATGGAAATAGTGTGACCTCTCATGTACCAAGCAAAAAGAAAGAGGCTCTGTCACTTAAATAGCTGCGTGACCTGAGGAAAATTAAGCATCTAAACCTATATTTCCCTTCTGTAAAGTGGAGACACTCATCACAATGAAAAAAAAACCTATTTCTTTGTGTCTATATGAGATGACGGATGCACACTAAACTTATTGTGGTAATTATTCCATCATGTATGTAAATCAGATCACTGTGCTGTACATATTTAACTTATACAGTGCTATATGTCAATTACACCTCAATAAAATTGGAAGGAAAAAATGGAGACAGTAATACTTATTCCGCAGGATTATTACGAGAATCAAATAGAATCATACATATAAAGTACTTTGCACAGTGACTAGCACATAACAAATGCTCTACAAAGGGTAAATAACAGTATTAGTATTATTATCACCATCACAATTAGGGCATTTGAAAGTGAAACTAAAATGGTGATAGAAAGTTATAAAAAGCACCACACATCGAGAAGTCACTTGGGAAATGTAAAAATATAAATGAAGACTTAACCTAAAAAAGTGCACTCAGAGCTCACAGCCTGGAAGGATACTGGTCTCACCAGCAAGTATGGCTGGTTAAATAACAGGGCTCAAAACTATAAATGTGAATGCCCGTTCTTTCAGAAAGAAAATGTGCTTCATTTCTATTTTTCTTTTAGAAAGAAATAACATAATACCCTCCTTTATCTAAAGACGCTGAGCACGAATATGAGAACATCAAATATTTTAATTCCTCCCAGGAGCTAGTTCAGTCCTAGAGAGAATAAGAGTTTGCCAGAGTAACTGGGACATCTGAAAATGGAAATGTAATATTCAGACCTCCACATTGTTCCTTGAAACCTTTCCAGTCCCTGAAAAAGTCAAAAGATGATCATACCAGTCATGAGCTCCACATGTCAAAATAAATACACGGGCTCAGCCTATATTACCGCAATACATTTTCCTAGTGGGCCCTTAAAAATTGTATCATTTCTACAGGCACCCCCCAATGTTCATAGCAGCACTATTTACAAGAGCTGAGATATGGAACCTAAGTGTCGATCAACAGATGAATGGATAAAGAAACTGTGATGTATATATCTATCTATATTAGAGATAGATTCTCTTGTGTATATATATATATTCCATTGTATGTATATCTATAGATAGATAAGTAGGTAGATAGACACAATGGAATACTACTCAGCCATAAAAAAGAATGCAGTTTTGCCATTTGCAGCAACATGGATGGACTTTGGAGGGCATTAGGTTAAGTGAAGTAAGTCAGACAGAGAAAGACAAATACTGTATGAGCTCACTTATATGTGGAATCTAAGAAATACAACAAACTAGTGAATATAACAAAAAAGAAGCAGACTCACAGATACAGAGAACAAAGTAGTGGTTACCAGTGGGGCAAGGCAAGTGGGGAGGGGCAGGTAGAGGTGGAGGAGGGGGAGGGGCAAACTATCAGGTGTAAGGTAGGCTCAAGGATGTATTGTCCAACACGGGGAATAGAGCCAGTATTCTGTAATAACTGTAAATGGAAAGTAACCTTTAAAAATTGTATTAAAAATTTTTTAATATGTAAAAAGAATACATATATATTACGTGCATGGGTAGGACCAAAAGAATTGTATCATTTCTATTGACTGTAATTCAGTTGTTACCTTTCTTTGGGAGGCGCCAATTTATTGTTCCTCTGTTTCAAACATTAATATGGAAAGACCACGTTTGAGGCCTTCCACAGGAGTTTTTGGAATTCCTTTTCATCTGTATTGATTTGTCTGGCTTTTTCCGCCTTCTGTCTGGCACACATATGAATCTCAGACCATGGTGGAATGTCACATCCCAACTCAAAAGCCTCTGACAGTGTCTGCTCCCCTCAATCCCTTCTGCTGCGGTGGCTTCTTGGGTGATCTCTTTTATTTAGCACTCCACTTTTTTTTTTTTTTTTTTTTGGCTGTGCCGGGTCTTAGTTGCAGCAGGCGGGCTCCTTAGTTGTGGCATGCAAACTCTTAGTTGCAGCATGCATGTGGGATCTAGTCCCCTGACCAAGGATCGAACCCAGGCCCCCTGTTTTGGGAGCATCGGAGTCTTAGCCACTGCGCCACCAGAGGAGTCCCCAGCGCTCACTTTTTAAAGACCTACGAGCAAGATGCTGCTTCAGTGTTGGGGAGACACACACACAGATAGGATCCAGTTTCTTTCCTCTCAAAGGACCATGACTAGAAGAGGAAGTGGATTATAAACAAAGAATCCCAATCTGCAGGGATACATACCGATGGATCTATGCACGAGGCAGTCAGAGGGAATAGGAGACAGAAAGACACGTCTGCATCTTGGAGCAGGGCTGATAAATAAAAGCTTCAAACATATCTAGGCTCTTAGATAATGAGTAGGAATTTACAAAGTAGAGAAGAAATGGCAGGCAGGAGAGGGTAAGAGAGGGCAGAGAAATTTCCCCAGAGAAGAGCGGGACATCCCACACTTATAATGAAATAAACTTAGCCAAACAGACTGGGCACAATAAGGAGGCTTAGCTGATGGCTTAGCATACCCTGCACCTTTACTCCTTGCGTTCACTGTAACTTGACCTGCTGCTTTTCTATGCATAGACTCTCCCTCTCTATTATACACGAAGCAAATGCAGAGAGTCCCACAGTCGTTTCAGAAGGAAGGAAATATTGTTGTCAGCAGAAGTTGCTAGTATCCCCACGCTGAGAGCAAGGAGGTAAGCTCTGCATCCTCATGGAAGACTATCTGACGTGTTCTTGCCCGAAGGATTCCCCTGACGGCACAGGCTATATATATATTTATTTATTTATTTATATTTATATATATAAATAATATTTATACATTTATATTTATATAAAGTTAAATATTTATACATTTATATATATATAAATGTATAAATATTTATACATTTATATATATATAAATGTATAAATATTTATACATTTATATTTATATAAAGTTATAGAAAATAACTTCTTGAGCTTAAGAAGTAAATACTCAGATCAAATGGGCTTGATGAATACTAGACAAAATTAACATAAAGAGACTAGTTCTTGTGGTAGTTTGAAATTTTAATATTTCATAAAAAGAATTCTGGAAGACAGGAAGAAAACAAAATCAAACAAACAAAAAGAATAAACAAGTTAGCTACAAGGGAAGAAAACTCAGGACCAGAAGTTAACAAAGCAATATCCACCCTGAACAGGATTGGTCCCAAGTTGTCTCAAGCCCAACTGATGACTCAGAGGGCCTTGTCAATCACTTGCTACAGTCATCAAGGATTATTTGTCATGTGCACACTCACCTCCTTAGAACTCCATCATGCAGCGTGCACTTGTCTCGCTAGGATGTCTGTGCTTTAATTATAGTTACACACGATACCCTGCAGCCACTTTCCAAGAAATTGTAGGCCACTGTTATTTATTCTCTCCTATAATTAAGCATTTCGTTTCTGTATCTGGATGCAGGACTGGCTTCATGGTAAATACCCGTACAGTTTGTGGGCCCTACACTCTGAAGGGCCCATGCTTGATTTAATCCTCTGCTGCTGCAGAATTGAAACGCTTAAGAATTTTTTAACAGCAGGCCCTGCCTTTTCATTTTGCACGGAGCCCCACAAATTATGTAGCTGGTCCTGTCTCGAGGATTCACTGCCTCAAGGTGAATTTCTATCAAGCCCTGTCTACACACTCAGGATGGGAGCCATTACTGAATGGTTCTGAGTATAGCTTTTGGTTCCAGTGATCATTTTCACAGTCATTTACTTGGCAGGGTGACTGTCACCAACCTGAAAGTTCAAACAGCCCCAGAACACATTTGATGTCTGATTACAAATAACTGGCTTGGTCAAAAGTTAAGCTTCGGCCTTGGCCATCCTCTCTCATCCTGCCAGGTATACAGACAGGCCCTATTTCTTCAAGGCTCCTTCAAGTTTATAAACAATACCACCCCCAACACTGGTTCATAAAGTTTCCCATTCTACAAACTTAATGTGTTATTCAGAATTGAACCATTTCCTTAGCATAATTTGATGAAGGGTGTGCAGAATTGTATCAGATGTAATAAAAGTCAAGCCCTGTAATTTCAATTATTAAACACTTGTACCAGAGCCCATACCCAAGCAGCTCAGTGGCTTGTACTTGAACTGCAAAAGTAGCAGCTGGATTGCCAGAAAGAAGGGAAGGTATGGAAACCAACTGTGTTCTTAGCCGTGACGGATTTGAAAGGGTCCTTCTCAAGGTGAGTGACAAAAGGGGTCTATAAGCTGTGCATTTACCTTGGGACATCCCATCACCTACCTCAAGCCGTTCTGCAGATTGCAACGGTCATTTTCTACCTGTCCACACTGGATCCTGACACAGAACTGTCACTGGTTCTGACAGAATCATCACCCACGAGCTCTCAGAGGCCTGCGATCAAAAAGTGTCCCTCCCCACACACCCATTAGCTGGTATAAAAACATTCTCTCTTCCAGACCTCAAGACAGTGCACAAACACACTTGTATGTGCAGGCGGGCATGTGTGCTGTGTGTAGAGAGGGAAGGGAAGGAGGTCAGGGGAGGGTGGTAAAGTGACACCTCATCTTTATTCACGACTACAGATAAGACACGCCTTTTTACTTCCCTCTTAGTCTTTCTGAAGTCATCTCTACAGACTAGGCTTCCAACATGTTTATTTCATTGTCCAGACCGAGGGAATATTCATTTAACGACCTCACTCAGATTCACAGTAATTTCAAACAGACAGCGTAATTCAGCCACAGCTCTCCAGCGTGCAACAGCAATCCTGGACAGAACTGGCCACGGCCAGGCAGGGGATGCATGGGGACAGGCAGCCATTGTCTCGTCCACTGTCCACAACAGGACTCACTTCCTGCAAGTAACTATTCTCTGCCTGGGTGAAATTCACAGCACTCGAAACCATAAATAAATATCACAGGCTTCTGCAATCATGAACAACATCCCTTAGGTACCAGGGCAGCATTTATTCTGCCGGCATGTTCTGATCCCTGCCTTTTATCTTGTTCATGCCGTTGGAAAAACAAATAATAGAAATAGAATTCCTCATTTGGAGACTTTTACCTCTCCATGTTCAGAAATTCTAATTCATCAGCGGGAAATATTGAACTAAACACAGATCCTCCTGGAAATCTTGAAGGTGTTCCTAGTGCCTATGCCCCACATCTAAATAGAGCCGAAGGCCCATTCTCTTCAGCAAACTTTGAAGAACAGCCTGGCACTTTCTCCAAACAGGTAACTCGTTTTGCCACTCTTTCCCTTCTGAGCACTTTCAAAATTGGATAGTTACATATTTCACTCACTTAATAAATAGTTATCAAGTACCCACTGTGTAGTAGACACTGAAGGGTGCAGGATTTGCCCCCATGCCCACCCACAGGGTACCCACGGGTCAGTCTGAATGAGGCCTTTGAGTGCCCCTGAGCTCCCTGAAACTCAAGCACCCAGCCTGAGCTGCTGCCCTTGTTCCAAATTCATATTTGTTGGCTAAATGCACTGAGTCGACTTTGTTTTACAAATAGAGCTCTCTAATTAACAAAGGGATTCCAAAGTCAATGGGGTAAATCAGGCGTGCTATCAGTCAAGCAGAATTTGAAAATAAAAATCACTCTGATAACCTGCTCTAAAGAATATGTCCTCCTGCTGATGGACATATTGCCAAGTTGGGAACGGTGAAAGGAACTCCTTCACATTTGCTGCTTCAGAAATGGTCACAGGCTCTGTCATAAATTGTTGTGGCACAAGTCTGCTTGCTCCAGGGGCTGACAGAAGCTGATTAACACCCAAAATTGCTTCTCTCCTTCTCAGACTTGTAGAAGGAGAATGTCACTGATATGACGATCTCGGCTGTTTGTGGGAACTACACCTGTCTCGCTTTCCTAGAATGCAGCGAGGTACAAATCTTCAGGAGCAACAATTCACCCTGTCAAATTCCCGAGCCCAGGAGTGGCAGAGTGGAGATAAGGCAGCTGCTACAAAACAAGGATATTAGGGGAGGAAGCCTCGTTCAAACACAGCAAGGGGAGAACTGTTGGTGTTTAGCTTAAAATTTCATTGGAGCAGAGACCGTGAACGTGCTGCAGGCTACAAAGCCTCTACGTGGCATCTCACATTTTTAAAATACAAGATCCAAAAACATCGTGATTCCACTTTAATGCAATCAAAGTCCTTAGCTATCCAGAGAGAAGAATGAATTCAACTGCCTAAAGATCCTTCACTCAAACACTAAGCATGAATTTTACTGTGATTAAGTGAAACGAGTTGATTCTAATGTCACATGAAATTTGTTTTTAAATGGTTCTTTAATTCAGAGTGGTTGCCTTTTAATGATGCTGCCTTAATTTCCCGCTAAACCTGTTTCATCTCTAGTCATCCAACATTAATATTTATTTTGTTCATTTACTTTGAAAGTATTCTTAAATTAAAGTTGTTACAAATATTCTACTGCTGAAGATAATTCAGCATAGGCGCTACCATGAAAATATCATAGAAACCATGATCAACGTGTTATAGCTGTAATCTGGATTAATAAACACAATTACTATAAACAATTTTAGTAAATTAAGAAATAACCATTCTAGAATGTGTTATAAAATCCACTGCTAAATACATCCCTTTTTTTAACCTCTGTGCTTTTAAACTCTCGGAATTCTTAACAGTGTAGTTAGATTTCACATTGTAATAAAAATTATACTTAAAGTATTTCCCATGTACATATTCCTTTTCATTATATTTGCCTTAAAATGAAATCCTCAGCATTTAACCTATACAGATTGGCTTACACAAATCTCACAATAAATTACAGTAAAATAAAATTATGAGGAACTTGAACTTGTATCGTATTTAATGTAATATACAACTACACTCTCTTTTTCCTATTTAGCTTCATAACTTCTTATCATAATACAACATTCTGCAGAACGCTTCAGTACAAATGGGCTCAGGACAGCAGCAACACCATTACCACTACAGGAAAATTGCAATGCTTTTTTCCCTGGAAAATACCAAATCTCACAATCCAACATACAAACTCTTAATTCATTTTCATTTCCTCTTTCCCATAATTTATTTTCATATCTAAAAGAAGCTCTTGGTTGAAGACTTATACTGTCAGCAACACGTAGCTTCTTTGCAATTTTCTACTTTCAGAAAACATAAAAAGAAAAGCAATGTACCCCCACAAGCAACCTAAGTAAACCATTATAAATTCACATTCTCTTTTGCACTAATTTGGGTGGGCAGCCAGGAATAAGGAGGATAACCTGTGGGTGCCCTTACGGTTCCCAGATCAAACTTCCCTTTTCATACGCCTCCGTGGACTGTGTCAGAGGCAGAAAAACGCTCCAAACTCAAACATTTCTGTCACTTTTCTAACCAAAGAACTTGCTACCGTTGCCAACAAAACGTTCACACTAATTTTTGAGGTTTGTGTTCTTATCATCAGAAGTTTTTTGAACTACATACTTCTCTTTTTTAAAAAATCCTTTTTCTGAACTAACCTCAGGACCAAAACACTGGTCTCTGCTTCAAGGTTTCCCAGTGTTAACTCAAGAGTAATCAAAAACGAATGCCTTCAGATCCTCAAGGGGTTGCTTCTTCCTTTCTGTGCTCCAAGTGGAACAGGAAAGTAGCGCTGTGCTTTTTCCTCCACTGCCCTGCTTGCTTTTTGCCTTTAGAATCTGAAGATTTGTCCCCATTCCTGGGCACCTGACAGGCTGTGATTTACATGGGAGAACACAACTCCAAAGCTCTTATCAAGGAGTCTGAAGCTGCTCCCACCCATCTTAGTTGTTTTCTAGGAAACAGACAGGAAAAGGGGGTGGGGGGAGGAGAAGCAGATTCTGTCTGAAGCTGCACAGGACAAGGAACACAGGCAAATCCAAAGTAATGGAGGCAAATATAAAAAAGAATATTATTTATTATTTTCTTTATTAATACTCACATATAACCTTTGCTTTTTACACAAAAGTCTACTTAGAAGAATGCCTCCTTGGTTCAGCGGGCCCAGTGGGGCGTTTGCTCCTGGACCACTTCCCCTTTCTCCACCCTCCCACACCTCCCACCCTACCCCCGACATCCAAATGACTCTTCTACGTGTTCACAGATACCACGAAAATTTTGGAAACAAGATTTGGGTTACTGGATCTTGATTTAATCAACATCCCACTTCAAAATGGAAGGCAGGTAGGGGAGAGGGTAGGAAAAGGGAGAAAAGGCAGGGGAGAGAAGAGGAAGGGCGGCGGGTCAGCACTTTCAAGCCTTGCCTTTTCTGAGATGTGTGTGTATTGTGGCTGTTCCTTGAAATTCAATGACTCAAAACACTGACAGTAAGTGCCTGTGTGGTTATTTATATTATGTATCTATAACAGAATGTGTGGGCTTCCTCAGTTTGGATCTGGGCTGTTTTTGTTGAAACACACCACAATCCTTCTGTGGGTGTCCCCACAGGGAGTCTGGTCTCCCGGGAACCCGTCTCAGAGCCGGGGTTTCCGGAGCAGGGTCTTGCTGAGGTCTCTGACCTCTTCAGGGCTACTGACCCGCTCGTAGCCCAGCACGGCCATGGGCTGGTAGCAAAACTCCTCCACCTGTTTGATCTGCTGGAAGGTGAGGGCGGTCCGCCAGGCATTGGCGGCCTGCGTGGCGTTGCGTGCTGACACCACGAAAGGCTTGGAGGAGGAGCCTGAGCCACTGGTCATGTTGAGGGCAAACTGCTCCATTTCAGGGCTCACCAATAGCCCCACAAAGTCATACACCCTCCGTAGGGTCTTGATGGGGTCTCCCACCAGGTCCTCGTACCGCACCACCAGGTAGTGGCCTTGCAGCCAGTCAGGGGGCTGCAGGGCCGTCTGCAGCGTCTTGGCCATGCTGTGGCAGATGACCTCCATGGCGCCAAGGGCGTGGTAGTCTGCAGGCCCACCCATGCTCTCCTTCTTGGCGCCCAGCTTATGGCCAGCGGCCTCCAGGAAGGGCATGCGGTGCGCTCGGGGGTCCCGGCTGCGCACCACCTGCAGGCTTTCACGGATGAGACCATGGCGCGAGCGGATGCGTGAACTGGCCACGGCGCGGGGATCCCGCACCAGGTGAATGACCTTGAGGTCCAGGGCCGGGTCGCGCAGAAGTGGCGCCAACACGGCCACATCGAAGACGCGCACGCCCTTGATGACCAGAGTGCGGTACTTGCGGCACTCCTCCTCGAAGCGCGCCAGGCGCTGCGGGGGGCACTTCTTGCACACGCGATCGTCTACCAGCCCCACGACCTCCTTGCGGTAGGCGGGGCAAAGTGGCGACGAGCACACCACCTTGTTGGTGGCCGCGCCGAAAATGCCCAGCGTGGTGAGGTTGCGCCCCCCGCTGCCAGCGGGACTGTACAGCTGGAAGACAGAGAGGTCGCAGCGGTAGAGAGCGCTCAGCATGTCCCGTGCCGCCCCTTGCAGGGAAACGGCGTCCCCTGGGTACAGTTTTTGCCACACGTGCCACACTGGCTCGTAGAGGAAGAACACTTCGGGGTTCTGGTTGAAAAGCTCGCCGAAAAAGGACGAGCCCGAGCGCCACGTGGTGAACACGTACACCAACTGCCTCTTGTCCCCGCCATCCCCGGTGCCCCGAGTGCCATTACCCGGAGGGGCTGCGGCCCCCGCCGCCCCCGCCCCAGCTGCCGGAGCCGCCCGGACGGGGGCGACGGGAGAGCGGTATGGGGTACGGGGGTCCAAGCGGGTGTGTGCGCGGGGCTGCACGGCCGGAGGAGGCCCCGGATGCCCCCAGCCGCCCCCAGCCGCCCCCGCCGCGGCACCGAGCGGCCCGTCGGGGCTGCACTGCTGCAACGGCTCCTTGTGCCACTTGTAGTCCAGGAGGTTGAGCATGGTGAGCACCAGCAGCAGCGCGTAGCCCGCGCACAGCACCAGCGCCTTCCTGCGGAACACCTTCATTCCGAGCGGGGACGGGGGCCAGCGGCGACCCGGGCGCCGGGGCCACGGCGGGAGCAAGGCGCGCGGCCCGGCGGCAGGCGCGGCCGCGAGCAACCGGGGGGGCGCGCCCGCGGGCAGGGCTCGCGGCGGGCTGCGGCTCATCACAGGCACAACCCGGGCCGGCAGCGCGGCGGAGGCGGCCCTGCAACCCGGGAGGAGGACGCAGCGGCCCGGATTCGGGCGCTGGGACTTGGGCCGCGACTCCGAGGCGGGCGCGGCAGCAGCGGCGGCTGGTCCCCGGCGCCCAGGGTTGGCTCTCCCATGGCAGCGGCTCTGAGAAGGACCTGCGAGGGGAAGCGGAGTAAGCTCGTGCGCCCCAATCCTCTTCCCCCTAATTAACGCCCACCCTCGGGTCTGCCTGGCTACCCCGCTAACCTGGAGCCACGGGCGCTCCCCGGAGCGGCCCGGGAGCACGGCCCGGCGGTCAGTCCTGCTGTCACTCGTTCCCCGCCTTCTCGAGCGCTGTTTTCCGCCCGGGGTCCGCGCGCCTCCGAGGGGGCCGAGGCACTTGGCAGCCCAAGCCCTGGGCAGAGTTTGCGGGCAGCGGGCGCCCTGCGGCTGGGGAAGGGAAACTTTCACCGGGCCCGAAGCCCTGCTCTGCGCTCCGCTGAGTCCAGTGCGCCCGGCTCCATCGGCGTCTCCGCCGCCCTCTCGGGACTGTAGCTTCCTTCCTCGCTCTGGCGGGGTGAAGCTGGCCGAGGGAGGGGAGGGGGAGGGGGCTTATACGGGACCCAGCTCCCGGCAAAGCGGCTCCGCCTCTCTTGCTCTTGGCCTCCGCTCCCCGAATCTTCCCATCTCTCTGGTGGTGGTAGATGGGGCGCAGCGCGACTCTGCAGCGGCGGCGGCAGCAGCTGCTTCTTCCATCACCCGAAGGATGCCCGGGCGGGCATTGCCGGCAGCCCCCGCCGCTCCTCAGCCTCCGACTGGACCGGAAACCCCCTACACTCACACACACAGCTCTAGGCAAAGGAGCCGGGGTCCGCAGCGCTCCCTTGCCCGCCTCCCCCGCAGCACCAGCCTCTTCAGGTCAACGAGGCACCGGGGCAGAGAAAACCCCGCCGCCGCCGCCGCCGCGCGAAAGCCGGCGCCGGGGAGGATGCTGCTACCCGACTCTCCCTACGCGGAGCGGCTGCAACGCGCTCCGTCCAGCCTCTGCGCGGCTCCTGCCAGCCGGCGCCGGGTTGGTGCGCGCCGCCGTCTGTCGCTGCGGCTCCTCCCCTTCGGCGCGCTGCCCTCCTCCTCCGCGCGTCCCGCGCCCGCCCCCCCTTGCAGCGCCCAGCTCCCGCCGCCGCCACCTTGGGGGTTGGAGATGCGGGTTCCGATTTACAGCGGCGCCGCTTGGGCCGCCGTCCGCGCGGCGTAGGCCGTAGCAATCCGTGCGCCAAGCGCCAGGGTACGGGCGCGGGGTTCGGAGCACTCGGGCGTCCCGACCTCTGGGAAACTTGGATTCTCCGTGCCGCTACCGGGCTCAACCGCACAGTTTTGCTCTCGGAAAAGAGTTGGTGATAAAGTTTGGGCAGAAATCCCCCAGCGGCCTCCCACTCCGCTCTCCCCCCGGGGTCGGCACCGCCGGGCCTCTCGGGGACCGAGGACGCACCCGCGCCCCGGAGCGCTCCGAGGAGGCCGAGCGCGGCTCTCAGGCTCCCCACTCCCGGCTCGTCCCTTCCAGCTGGCCTGAGGCTTCTCCCTCACCGAGGAAGTAATAAATCTTTCTGACCCCTGGGTCAAAGAAGAAGCTTCAGTTTTCCGGAGGTGTGTGCCAGCGGGGCGTCTTCTCCCCGCTCTACTCCACCCATGGAGAGGGCCTCTTCGGTTTTATTAGCCCCCAGCAGACGCTCTCCCCACCTCCGATCGTAATGACGCGTCCGCTGTGACTGACGTCCTCAGGAATTGGGGTGATGGGGGGTCGGGGGTAACTCTTTGTTCCAATTTACAGTAAAATACTTGTTTTGCTCCTTGGTGTTAGAGATGAGATCAAACGATTTCACCCTAAAGGAAACGCAGTTTTTGGAAGTAGATCATTTTTTATGTTAAGGTTTAAGTACTTTTTTTTTTAGGATAATGAGGAACAGCCCTCCCTCCCTCCCTCCCTCCCTCCCCTCCTCCTCTCTCTTTCTCTCTCAATCTCTCACCAAAAGAGACTAAGCCGTAGCTCAATTTTATCCGCAAAATGGGGACAATTATAATAGCCTCCAGTAATTGAACGGTGATGGGGAGCTAGACGCCCAGATGATTAAACCCCACTCGAGTCCTGGGCTGAATCGCTACGAACTGCGACCGGTCTTGAAGCTCACGGGCCGCTGGTAACAGACTGATCTCTTGGAGACGTTTTGCAGCCTCCTGTCCTGATGGAGTTTTTAGAAATTTGACAAAGTTACTGCGAATTTATGTTTGTACTATTTGGGGCAGCCTTTCTCAGCAAGATTCTTCTAAATTAAAAAATGTTGTTTGCGCCATTATTCTTCAGTGAGTCTTACTGAAGTACGAATCTTCGGAGTGCAAGGAGTGCACTTAATTCCATTCTTAATTCCATTCTTAATTCCGAAAGTGACTTAATTCATATGAGTTTTCAGGGTAGAAATATGTTCCAAGAACTTGACCTAGCCTCGTTTTCCAGAAAAATCCATAATGCCACGGGTAGAGTTCAGGTAATATTTCCCCCCCCTCCCGTGGTTCTGATAAAATGTAAGGGTGAGACGTTTCTGGGACAGATTTTGTGCAAATAGAGGGAGGGAGAGTAGAGATCGAATTTTATTCACAGCTTTCTCAAGCAGCATGGCATTTCCCCTGGGAGCGTGTCAGGACAGACAGACGTTTTTAATCCCTGTTTACAGACGAAGATGATAGTTTAATGGAGTGACTTCCCATCTCTCCATTTCTGGGCCCACCCACTGCCCTTCCCCCTACTGTCTCTACCCCTCTCCCTTTTTCCCTCTACCCTTTCCCCACAAAACTGAAGTGATATTGACACATTAAAAGACTGGTGGAAGAGACGGAGTTAGGGAGGCAAGAAAACCTCGACGTCAGTATTCAGCCTGGTTCCAAGAAAAATAATGTCGAATATTTAAAATTTAGTCCCTGGCTTTGTGGTTACTCAGAAAGCCCCTGAATTGCAGTTATTTGCTGTAAGGACCCTTTTCTAAACAATTGTTTGCATAGAAACAGTTTTGTCTGCCATTCTGTAACACTTTCCTGAAGTTGGCAAAATAGTAAATCCATTTGCTGGACACCCCCCCCCCCCAGTGAGTGCTCAGCTAGCATCAATTTACAGGTTCCAGCATCTCCACCCTCTCCTTGCTTGCAAATGTTTAAACCGTTTTGCACAGTGTCATGATTAATTCCAGCCTTCGTCACAACTAATGTCACCCAAAGACTTGATAATGCCTGTCTTCCCACGTGGGTTCAGGATGTCCTTTCATTTTAAGCCACTTATCCCGTTAGCATAGCAATGACCCAGACCTATAAGAAGTCACATAATTTTGTTGTCAGAGGAGTCAGGCCACAGGGCTGTCCTTAATTTCAGCTCACTGTTGAGTTTATTGCAATTCAGGGTCTTTTCCACGAGGCTCCTCAGTCCATCCTCTGCGGTCTGGGCTGTGGAAAGGAAACTGCTGTTGGAAACTTGCTGTGGCATTTCCCTAATCCTGGACAGATAGGAGGCCAAACGTTCTGAGGTGCTGTAGGCCCAGGGCCCAGCCTGTGGGATGTGGCAGAGAGATCTTCCCAGACCTTCCTCCATAGTCTGTCGAGAAAAGATGTAAGGCTGGGTTACCCGGCCAGTTTCCATCCAGGCCTGTCTGTGTCACTGTGGACCCACAAGATTCCCCTCTGGGGAACGCCTGCCCCCTCCCCCGCCCCCACCCCACCCCCGCCCCGGGCACCAAGATAGATTCAGTCAGTCATTGTTTCAGCGAATATGCATTGTCAGGGGAACTTGAGTACACAGAATTGGATTAATCATAATCCTTGATTTAAAACACACTGTTGTCATTTGTCCAAGGGTGGCTCTTTTCTTTTTTATATGATTTTAAATAATATAATGAATACTCATGAACCCACTACAGAGCCCATGAACCTCCAGAGGTAACCGCTCTGCTTAATTGAGTTTAAAAGCTGAAATGAAATGGTCAAGTTTGGGGTGGCGGGGAGAGACACTTGCCTTAACTGTCAAAAAAGAAAATAACCTGAATCGTCTGACGGCTGTGAAGAACTCTTTTTGAGTTCCCACCTTCAAATTCTAGTACGTAGCCACCAGTCATCCTGAGGAACTCCAGCCCAGCCTCTACAACAGCACCGGTGACCTCACCGCTCACACCTCTCCCTGGCCTTATTTATCACCAGCTGGATGAGAAGAACCCACAGGTTCCCACCTGTGTCTTTCTCCTCCACAGAACACTCTGCTACTCACTTCACTTCTGACACTCCAGGTCACCAAAAGTGTGGATTCTTTCCCCAACACCAAGCAATTCTGTGGCACCCGCTGGGTGTCCAGCAACTTTACTCAATTCTGACACTCTTTGCCTGGAGATAGTGTCAGATCCCAGAGGTTAAGGGCTCAGTCCCACTAGACTGCCCCCCACTTCTGATGCCAATCGCAAATCCAGATTGCCACCTGGGATTCCGACCAATCGGTCCTAAGTGAGAGGTTTCCCACAACCCCCTCCTCGAGTTCACTTAATTTGCTAGAACGGATCACAGAACTCAGGAGAAGTTTACTTACGTTTATCAGTTTATCGTAAAAGGATACAATAAAGTGTATGGGTGAACAGCCCGATGGAAGAGATGCACAGGGCAAGGTATGTGGGAAGGGGCACGGAGCTTGCACACCCTCTCTGGGCTCACCACTCTCCCGGCACCAACACATGTTCACCGGCGAGGAGTTCTTTGAATCCCCTCCTGTTGGAATGTATGGAGGCTTCTCATGTTGTCATGACCAATGATTAACTCCATTTCCCTTGCTGGAAGATGGGGGCTGGGGCTGAGAATTCTAAGTGTCTAATACAGCTTGTCCTTCTGGTGACCAGCCCTTATCCAGGAGCCACTCAGAAGCCCACCCAGAGTCACTCATTAGAACAAAAGATGCTCCTAGTACTCTTATCACTTAGGAAACTGCAAGGGTTTTAGGAGTCCTGTGCCGGGAACCAAGGACAGAGACCAATATATGTATATTTCTCATTATCTCACACTAACACTGATTGGGCTGCTCACTCATAACCCCTGATCTGCTGGGCTCTTTTATTATTATTTAATTATAACCTCCCATTCGAAAAAAAATAGCAGGAATGTGAGGTAGCACACAGAGACAAACACAAGAACAATGATCAAAGGGGAAAATAACATGAAGCCAGGGGTATGGTCTGTACAACAATTCATTTCATGAGGTCCTGTGCAATTGCGAGAGGTGAGTCCAAAAATTGGCTCTGAGCTTCCTAGTAGGCATTGTAAAGAAGGAAAGTTGCTCAGGAGATTGACAGCTTTGCCTGACATAGAGAACTAAGAAAATAATTTCTCTTCTTTGTATTGTAAGACTCATTCATGTGATTTCTTTGTTCACTGCTTTTTTCCTAATACTAGCACCCTATCTGGCATATAAGCGTTCAATAAATATTTGTTGGCTAATTACTGTGGGTCCTTAAAAAGGAATTACGAAAAAAAAAAAATAAAAAAAAAAAAAAAAAGGAATTACGCAGCATGGAAAGTGTACTATGTCCTTAAATATGTCTCCACGATCTACAATTTAAAAAACTATAGAGTTGGGGCAGTAGGTGCTGGTTCTTATAAGCCCAGTCAATGCAATCTAATGTCATAATATCAATGCTCGGTTCAGGAAAGGTAGACTAGTGTGGGCTACACCTACCACTCTGATGGTCTGGCCTGATGGCTCATCTCAGCACGCTGCATTAAGCTATTTCTCATGCCCAAGTGTGTAGGGATGAATCCCTTCTAGGAAGAGGCTTCTTGGAGAAATGACTGCCTGGAAACAAGAGACTCAGCTTCTGTCAACTCTTTTCACATCTCCATGCCAAACATCTCCCAACAGCAGTAAGAGCTGTGTCTTGTGCTATCCTCAGCTAGAAAGTGGTCTTG